CCTTTTTTAATCACGCATATTATACCTTTTTTAATCACGCATATTATACCTTTTTTAATCACGCATATTATACCTTTTTTAATCACGCATATTATCCTAGATGTCATTGCCATAAACATGACACGTCAATATATGCTCTGTATTTCCACAGCGAGGTACCCCAGACGGTCAGACTCCAAACCCAACCTTTTCAGCTCCTTCAAACACAAAGATGACATCAAGACCTTCATGATCCTCGTGAGAAGGGGCGAGAACGCGCGCAAGTTGCGCGGAGTTATCGAACATGTGCCCGCACAGGAAGTGACCTTGTGGCGGGAAGATGGCCTTGACGTCATGCATCACGTGATATTGGCCAACAACGTGGAAGCCATGGAGTACCTTCTCAGCCACGGATTCTTCGTGAGGCCCCATCTCCCAGATGTGAACCCTTACGGGCAGTTAGCGGCCTTGCTAGGGGAAAGAACTCTACTCCAGGTCTTGCTGCAGTATCGCCCAGACGATTACTACCCTGTCGACATTCCGATACAGCTACCCGAGTCTGTAATAGAATCGATTATCACGAGCCAGAAGTCCAAAAGAGACACCAAGCTAAAACTAACGAAGCTTCCGGAGAATTTCTCCTCATCTTCTCTCGCTTCAAACTCATCCGGATCTTCTTCATCCAACTCCTCTTCTCGCTCGCTCCAGCAATACCAGATCGAATCTCTGGACACTTTCCTCGAGAACCTGAAAATAAATTCCAAGAAAATGACGTCCCCGCTGGAGGTCTCCGCGCGGTGCGGCCACCAGGACTGTGTGCGCGTCATCCTGAACCAGTGCGTGCTCAAACTGAACGCGGACTCGGAGGAGATGCTGAACAAGGACAAGAGTGACGTCACGCTCGCCTGTCTCGCCGACAGCCCGCACAGTCTAGCGCTCCTCCTGCACCACGGCGAGCCCAGCCAATCAGAGTTCGAGGCGGCCATCAGCGTCTGCTTACACCACGCCCACGCCGAGTGCCTTGACCTACTTTTACAACTGGGTCGTGAGACGAAGACGATGTTCAAGGGCATGAACTTCTTCCACGTTCTGTACACGTACTCCTCAGACCATGGGAAGTTGAGCTATGCTAGACTGACTCAGGTGAGCTGTACGGCGAGTCTGGTTTTGTTTTTGGGTTCTGTTTTGTTTTGTTTTGTTTTGTTTTGTTTATTAGTTTGTTTGTTAGTTTGTTTGTTAGCTTGTTTGTTTATTTGGTCTATTTTAAGCACAAGGGGGCAAGCATGATAAAAAGCTACTCTGAGAAAATCGAAGGTAAAGTTTTTGGACTTTTGTTCAGTTTCTTTAAAAGACAAGGAGAGTTTTCTCAATAACCAAACAAATAGACACACCAATGAAACCAAACTTCTCCTATAGGT